AAATGTGAAACGGAATAAAAGGTATCCAATGCACGCCATTGCAGTAGCGAATCGCACGACGAAAATGGGCCCTAAACGTTGCCAAAGTCGTTTCTTGAAAAACGTTGAGTCTAACCGCAAACTGCGATCGCACGTGCTCATAAGCAGGCTCGTACAACGCTTTCCTTGAGATTAGACAAAAAGACACGCATAGAGACAATGAGCGAGGCCAGGACCGAGATTGCAAACGAAGGAAAATAGGAAATATGATAAAAGCCACGTGATATAGACCCTGGAAGCGCCAAGAAGCATTTAGAACAATGCAAATCAGTCGGGCGGTCACGGATATTATCTTTCTTTTGGGGCTGTATAGATAATGACGAGACCATATACCGTCTGTTTCATGAAACGTCGAACAAATTTCTCCTGCGAAACTGCGCATCACACAGAAAAGAAAGTTAACATCTTGACCTCTACCAAAGGACCTGTACAGGAAAATTAATGGCGGTAGTGAAAACTTTCAGTATTTAATAATGCCACGCCCCTAGTCACATATTCTTTCAAAGGCCACCCCTCCCCTCCCTCTCCTCCCCCCTAGACAAATATTATTCCAAATTATAACATGCAGAGGGGAAAGAACATTCTCCTAACTCATTCCAGGTTTTTGCAAGTGGCAAATGAACTATTTTAACGGCTCCTCTTACATATTTATGACGTACGCTGAAAAACTAAAATTATTTTTAGAATCTTACAGACCCTGGTATGGTTCGCACAATTTGTTGTTGACGCTGAAACCTTGGAAATAATTTAGCAATTTCCGATAAGTTTTTTTTTTTCACTTCAGAAGTTCCTAGCTTGTACAAAGGATTCGAATCGAGTTTGCCTTTCCGCGCTATGCTCTGCCCTTCCTTATGTAACTCCTGAACCGGGAATGTAAGGCGGAAACGAATAAAATCAGACCGATAGCGCGATATTCGTAGTTATCAACGCGGTACTATTGACAAAACTAGAAAAATAGGTGAGAACGGCGTTCTCAGTTGTATCATTGTGCTAAAGGGAGATAAAATAGGTAGAAGTACAATCGAGCGAGATAAAAGGCAATCTATGCTTCCGCATAGCCGAGCGACGCAGTAGGCCTAATTGAACATATTCCATTTGTACTCTGATTTCCGATATTGTTTACATCGAACATCGGTCCCTCGCACATCTTATCCGAGGTGCTACAGGTTTTGCTTGTCATTATCGAAAGGGTGTAAAAAAGAAAAGAAAAAAAAAAAGAAAAGAACGAAGCCTGTTAAGCAGTTTTGTCCTTGTTTCAACAGTTTGCTTGAGACCGTTGTGGCAGTTGCGTTCAGAACGACCGTAACAACAGCAACGACAAAGTGACCGGGAGAAATGTTCGCCGTACATAACGGAGCGAGCAACGCAAGAAGTAGCTTAGTGTAGCAACCATTGCGTCAGTGTTGTACCGATGTTCCGGTCGTTGGTGTCCTTGTGCTTGCTGGAAATGCAGTCAATTAATACTAATGTGTAAATCAGCCTTTACCGCTACAGCGGGTACGGTATACGGTCCGTACCGCGCGCTTGAGGACATGCTTCGAAGTGGTAGCGCGAGCTTCCGGTAACAGTATTTAGGGAACCATTTTTGCCCATCCGATGCGGTACAATGGTACCTCCGGTCCGCACCGCGCATATGGGAGGATTCTCTGGTAGCGCAGTTTGTACCGGACGGCCCATCGTACCATATCGGACGTGCAAAAACGTTTCCCTAAAATTCCCTAATGCCGATTCGTACGGTAGCCTGTGGTAACGCTATGTTAAAACTGCCCATTGAAAAATCTAAGAAAAGCATCTCCTTCCACGGTTATGGTCAGGTTCTTGGCGTGACGATTGTCCTTTCGTTGTTCCTGGTTTGATAAAGCTTTGATCTCTTTAGCTGCTTGGCCATGATAAGTATTGGCTGCAGGGCTCCTTCATTTCTGGCTACAAGTGCAGACAATCACAACAGACCCGTTGGATTTGCGTCGAGTGTTTATAATTCACTGTTAGCAAATAGGACAAAACTAAAAAAAAAAGGAGGCACTCATGACGTGAAAAGCGCTACAAACATTTGTCAACAGTAACTTTCGTCTCGATAGGAAACATTTTTTGAGCGTTTTGTTGGCACGAAGACGTTATATTCGCATTTTATTCCAGTTAAATAAAAATTATAATAGAGCACGAACCCCAAATTTATAGCATATTACGCTCTAAGTGGTATACTCTCGCGTCCCAACGCAGAAAAAACAACCAAAATACTCGCTTCGAGAACCAGGATATGGGTCGTATAGAATGCGCTTGACTGCAGCGCAAGAAGAAGTAGAAACGAAATTATACGATCACCGTGTGGTTTCAGCTAGAGCCACCCAATAACGCTTAGAGTATCGACACTTCATTCCCCGACTTTCCTGTGGGTGCGGCCATTTTGGTGCTTAGAGCAGAGAGGATGCAATGTGGTGATCTTTACGACTCGAAAATGTGACTTCGCTAATTTTAAATAACTTGTCAGGAAGCTAAGGTAATATCGTTTTTCTTTGTCGCGGACCGTTTTAACACTTTTATAGAAGAAAAAAACCTTTTTTCGCGATTCAAAATGAAGCTTCAGATAACTGGAAACCATGATTCTAAGCACCTAGGTCGCTCAAGGGTCGCTACTCTCAAGTAGGGCTCGTTTTAGTGGCTCCATAGTTTCGAGCAAACACGTTGGCAACGCCTTACAAGTGACACACTTACTCGTAAATATTTCTTTCTTTCTATAGTGGAATCACAAAAAAGGCGAGCGAGAGTGTACAGCGATATGAATACGACAAAAACAAAAATTCTCCTTAAGCCGCAGTCAAACTGCTCGTACGCATCGCACAAAAGACACACGGTGTCCGCGCTGCAGGCACGATGACAAAAGAAACCCATCAAGTCATGTTCGAAGCATGTTTTCTTCATGAACAAGTCTGCAGACGGCTTTTGCACGAACCGTTTTTGCACATGCGATATGGTACGACGGGTCCTCCAGATACGCACTGCGCGTGAGCTACCGCACAAGACTCGCGCTTGCGCGGTGCGTACCGGAGGGCCTATCGTCAATTTCAAAGTCAATTATTGGAGCAGCAAAAAAGAACTTTTAAAGCGTATAGGCGCGCACTTCATTTCCGTTCCTTCCTCCGCGTGTATATTATGTTAAGATTCGTACGCTAGCCTGTCCATCACGAGGACACTGTCTTTACTTTGCCTTCCGATTTCTGTGCAAGTTTTTGTTGTTAGCACCCAATGCATGGCAGGTTGAATTCCCCTCGAGCAGAGAACTAAATTTTTGGCTGCGAATAGAAAAAACCGGGGACGGCGTCGAGATGTTGACCGATGGCTGACCATATGAACTGATGTGAATGATTGTTTTAAGTATGGAATCAAAGGTAAACCAAATATTAGATTCCAGGGAGATAATGAACTTGGATCAGAAAAATATTAAGCACCTAAATTAGTGTTTCATTGAAGTTCCAAAGGTGGTAATACAACTGCAATTTTTAATTAAGATAAAAACCAAGCTTTTTTTTTTTATTGAGTATGAACATCAATGACATTTTATATGTAGAAGTTTATGATAAAAAATTGGCATATGGCCGATAAATATGCCTCCTTAAATTATAGCCGAACTCATTAAAGCTGTTCGAAAGTTTTCACCCACTGCCCCAACTAGTTTAGTTCTATACTCTACTGATTGTGTCACCATGCGGATGGAACCTATATAAAGTGATAACTACACAAGGAAGTTGACGCACAAAGAAAACGTTGAAAATAGTCTACATAAATCTTGTCAGAATACCTAAGAATCCTTGCTAAATCTAAAAATTCAACACAAAATCGTTACAATATCGCTGCCTATCATATATACTAGTCGCTGTTTTATTCGGCATTCTTTTTTTTAATGAAAGGTAGAGCTATTACATCCACACTCACTGGCGTCATCTCTTTTTTTTTTTAAAATATATATATATATATATATATATATTTGACGCATAAGTGTGCAACATCGAAAAATCGCGATGCATACTTTGCAGTTCTCGCTTCACTGCTGTGCTCAATAATCACGATGAGAAGTTAACTAAACGAAACTAATAACCCGCCAGAAGTTGTGTGAAAGTTTTCTTTTTATGTGCTTGTTAACTGAGAGTATTATTCATGATTTACTGATTTTATAGTTGGAGATCATATATCATTCATACTGTACATTACTTGCAACTCATAAAAAAATAAGTACTGTCAGTACGCTTGACACAGATATCAAATCGAGAAGTAAGTTATTTGAGGCGATAATAAAATGTTATTAAAATTCGCACAAGCCTACTGTAACGATCCAGCCGTGTAGCGGTGCCTGGGCTATTATATTTTGAGTACGGGTAATAATAAAGTGAAACTACGCTTTGGCGCAGTGTTTGACACAAATTATATTTTGGTGAAATGTAGTAAGATGTAGCAGGATAAGCACCTTGGCGCAGTTTGGCACAAATGGTGCAGCAGCTGTATAAAAGTGATGCTCATAAACGGCCGGTGATAAAACATTATTTTTGGCGTCTATTTTATTTTCCTCCGAAATCAATAAGAAATTAATCGGCGTACATTAACCAGTAGTGATAGATAAATACCGAAAATCATAAATTCTGATTTTAGGGTATCTACACTCCAAAGCAGTCAGGAATGACACAACTCGAATGGTAGCGATGCCACCACTTGCGTCTTATAGTTATCAGTTTTTACTTAGTTTTTCACGTCCCTCTTGCACATTGATAAATAGCTCAATCAAGTAAATATTAAGATGAAAGAAGCGTTGTATATCGACCGCTTCATTGGGAACTTCCCTAGCTATACATGTACAATAAGAGTAGCGGCCCCTTGTTACAGGCTACTTAACCGCAAGTGTGAGTATATTAGCGCTCTCCTAATGAAAGCTACCATCTCAGAACACCCTGGTACCATGCCACTGTTACTTAGACTATTCGCTTCCATATGTAATTTATTTGATGAATGAATATCACAAGAATCCGTCGAACCACAGTGAAAAACTGTACAATGGAACTTTGTCTTTTGTTAAACACAACAATGGCTGCGACACGATGTGTAAAACGGGAGCATTGTGTTGAAACAAGACGAACAAGTACATACCAATATGTAATCGTCTGCATCGACGAGGATGCACAGCACTGGCTGTTAACTTTGAACTGACGTTCACTTTCCATTCAGGTCACACGAATGGCAAGAACTCACAGAGTCCACAAGAAACCAAGCAACCAAGCATACATGCTTGTCATTGGTGCACTGAAGTTTGGTACGTGCACACAACCCAGTGTTCAGGGCAGCTTTTTCGGTCCGCCTCCTTGTCGCTTTGAAATCTTGTGCACGTGTCCTTCTCTATGCAGGGACCCTACACTTTGGTGATGCTTGGCACTTACATTGTTCTCTATCAGTCCACTATTCTTTTTTGTTTTTGAAGAAAACTGCCTGCCACTTGTCGCAGATGCATGTTCTGCCGATGTTTCTTGAGACCCTACGAAGTTTGTCGTAGTTTCTAGGCTGTTTATTTATGTTTGTAAAACTAAGAAAACAGGCGTTGTTCATATGACATACGCGATATATTTTTTCCCGCGATGGCATCACTTGCGTGTTGTCAAGAGAATACCCAGGGCAATGTAGCCCTTAGCTTAAAATATTACTTCAGTACTTCTGGAGCTTATCACCTTTCGAAGCTGATAACCTTCAGTTAAGCGGCCAAAAGGAAAACTGGATAATACGGTATCACATAGCTTCGCGTTTCTGAAAGACGTGACAATATCAACGAACTCACATCATTCCAAAACAGGACGACTCTCATAGTAGCATTAACATTTCTTAGCATGTACATAGATGTCAAGCATCAGTCACCTCTTACTCATAAAATCCACAGTCCTCACAAGCAGTCCTGACATCTCAATGAAATTTCTATGGTAGTGTACAAATCAGTACAGGCCACTACGGAACCGGGGCAGGCAGTATCACGTTCGGAAACTTAAACTCAACGAATAAGGCGATACTCAAGAAGGTAGCATAGAGTAACAGCAAAGCGCCGCCGTGCCACTTGCTGGATTGAAATCGCGAGGCGACCGAAGACACCAACGACAGCGACAGGCTGGCGGCCAATCCGGCATACAGAGCGGTCAACACCGGCGTCAGGCGGAAGGGCAGCGGCTTTGCACCTGCCGCCAGCTGCAGAGTGTACGGGATGCCCAGCCCTAGCAGCAAGTTGAGCAGCGGTCCACCGAAACACGCCGCGATGGCCATTGTGGGGTATCCCTGGCGGGCCACCGCGACGTTGGTGACCAGGTCGCCGAGACTGTTACCCCAGGCGAGCACCGTAAGTCCAAGGACCGCGTCGCTGATGTCCGCCAATATACCGACGGCCCTGAGAAGGCCGAGAAGCTCTCGCGCCGTCGCGTAAATCCACAGCACCGCAAGAGCGAAACCAGCGTAACCGAAGAGGAAATGGTACTTGGGCTCGCGCTCGAAGCTCGACGCCATCCAGACGACTAGGGCTAGCGTCGCACCGATCGCCAGAGCCAAACCCCAGGCGGGTAGTTTGTCCGCGATGAGTACTTGGCTCTGACCGAAGATTAGAGTGAGCAGTAATGGCGCCAACAGGCAGTGGGATGTGTTCAGGGGGCGACACCAGTTGTTCTTAGGGTTCTCATAGTCTACCACCGGCACCGTCACCACCAGAACGAAGCGAAGTGGGAATGTGACTACGTCGTACACTTTTCCGAAAGCACTACGTTCGCTCCAGTCGGCGGGATCCCATGACACTAGCTGCGTCAGAAGCTCGGCCCACGGTCCCGTCGGTTGGGTCTCGGGCTCGTCCTGGCTCGTTGGCACCGCAGCTAAGAGCGGGGTAGTCTCGGAGACAATGTGTTCCTCGGGCGCCTCGGGCAAAGAGCTTCGAGAGACGCGTCGCTCAACGGGTCCCTCGTGGGACACTTGCAGGATGGAGGCTATGACATGTTCTTTGTGCCGATGCGCTGAGCTTCTCCGGCGTCGCCTGACCTGCGGAGCTTCGACTCCGTCTTCGCCGAAGACATCGCTCGCCATACTTCCCATCGAAGGGCTCCTCTCACCGGGCCACGTCGGCGAAGGCGGAGGTCGCAGAAGCCCATCCGCCGACTTGGCCGGAGGCAGATCGGAGGCCAGCGTCAGGAGTCTACTCACTGGCTCCGTCCGCTCTTCCTGCACCGGCTCTTCCTGCACCGGCTCCTCCACCGCGAACACTTGCACTTGTGGGCGCGTCTTCCAGAAATGAACGGCGACCACGATCAATATGTAGATGACGTACAGGGACAAGAATCCCACGGCGTGGCCCAAGGTCATGCTTCCCACGTACAAGAGGTCGAAGGCCCAGAACGAGGCTGCCAGGTAGAAGATCACGTCACGTAAGAAAGGGCCGGCGTCGAAGGGAAAGCGGCACAGAAGGAGCACGAGTCCAGCAACCACGCTGCTTACGAAGGTGCCAGCGCCCAGGAGCTCACCAAGCACCAGGGACGGACGTTCCTGCTGCACTCCGGCCAACGACGAGATGATGTCCGGCGCGCCGTTGCCGAACGCCAGGAGCGTCACTCCGGCCATGCTGTCCGAGAGCCGCAGCGTCCGCGACATCACCACGAGCGCGGGACAGAGGAAGTCGTCGGCGGTGATGCCGAGCACCAGAAAGAGGAGCACCACCCAGAAGACGGCGGCGACGAGGGGGAGCGCCGGCGCGCCGGGCCAGCAGTACGAGTACGTGGTGTACGCCAGCCACGCCTCGTCCACATGGCAGTCGACGGTACGCTTCACGAAGGCGCATTGCTCGGCGGTGTCGTTGAGCGAGTGCACGAACTCGCAGTCATCCATAGTTCGCGTCGAAGCGGGCAGAGCACCGCATCTCGGGGGCGTCTGCCGTCGACGTTGTTGTCGGTCGCTGCGCAGATACGAGTCTGATTGCCGCCGTTGTGCCGCCGCACTTCGGCGAAGCGAACGAGGCGACGAGGCGGCGAGAAGAATCTACGGAACCTACCGACCGACGACGCTTTGTCCGGAAGGCGAGGGTATGCGTTTCCGGGGCGTTGCACGACCTCCGGCAATGCTTTCGCGGCGGGGAAGGCCAGCTGTTATTTCTCGTCTGCCTCGCGGGTGCTCCCGGCGAGAACGTCGTGGGCACGTCCTAGAATAGCGGCGGATATGCCCCGTGAATGTGGCTAAATGACCAGCTTTAATCTGCGGCAGTAGCCCTAAATGCGTACCAAGTGTTGCACGTTTATCTCGCATACTGAAGAGGTCTATCATCTTCGACAACTTAGCCCAGCCGTTTGACGCAATGCCTGTATACTCGGCGTAAGTTGCGCGTGAACGTCACTATAGTCGTATAAGGTTAGCGCAACTTGCGCTTGAACGTCTGCTGCGATGTACAGTGTGTCCCTCCCCCCCCCCCCAAAAAAAAAAAAAATCTTTTTTTTTTACCGCAGAAATAAATTACTTATCGCCGAACGCTCATTTTCTGCCCAAACGTAACGCTAGCCATCAGAACGAGATGCCAATGTGCATAATTAACCATTATCTCTATCAAAAGGCACGAATGATTTTCTTAAAGAAAAGTTTAATTTGGAAAATGGGACCCATTTCGCCCGTTTCCGGTAACTGGCACCATTCAGGTACATATATTTCGAGAACTCCGTCGGCCGCCGGTTTCCCATTGAAAGTTTCAGAAAATCACTCAGAACTATTGATTAAGATAAGTGTTAGTTCTGAAACTTCGGCATTTGGTTTGAACCGTTAGCGCTACATTTAGACGCGGAAAATTAGTGTGCGGCAATAAACAAACAAAGCAATTTTTTTTTTATTGCGGGAGAGGGGGGGGGGGGGGGGGGCGCACCCTGTAGCAGCGCCATACGAGTAACCGAAGAAGTCACTCTCTATAGGGAGTATTCACTGGACGCCATATTTGTCGGTATCGTTAGAGCGCATGCTCTGAACGAGCTCACATCAATAAGGAGTATTTACTAGGCGCCATATCTGTGGGTGCTGTCTAGAGCGCATGCTCAGAACGAGCCCACATTAATAGGCTGCTAAGACCGGCAATCACATGCCGGTCTTAGCAGGGTGCGGAATGTGCATTCCGCAGGGTGCCGAATGCACGTTACAAAAGAACTGTGGAAGCTCGCCAGCAGAAAGCGCTCAGCAGTCGCGCACACAGCTATGGCCGCCAGTGAATACTCCCTATACACCGTTTCACCTTATGTTTTTACCGCAGGGAAGGCTAGAAGCCCGAGCTCATAGCGTTGGCAGCTGCACTTAATGCGCGAGAGCCTGTGCCGCCGAGATGTGCCCTAGAGCAAGGAGCTCGCGCTTGTAGCCTTTCTTGCGGTACATCACAAGGTGGAATACAGTATAGCTAGGGTGTGTATTTTCCGGTTTTAACCGAAAAACACCGATAAACATCCGTCGGTGACAACAATATAAAATCGGTTAAAATCGAAAAACACCGGTGGTTGGATATTTTCGCCCTGGTTAAAACCGAAAAACACCGGTCGTTGCATGTTTTCGTCCTAGCAAAACCCTTTCCCCGTAGAGGTTCGTCAAACGTGTTATCTCGTGGATCCTGCCACGGCCACTCGATTAAGACTCCCCTGGGGGGATGGAGTGGCCGTGATCCTGCATTCTTCCAGTGTTTATACATGGCTTGCACGTGGCGTCAGTCCGCCCTCCTTTCTGGCGGTCAAAAGCGTCTAGTGAACGCATTGGAAGCTAAGCTCTCACACGCCTTTCCCCTATTGTGTCTACCATGGCCCCCTTTTGTGGAAAAGTTAACCCAGTGGAGGGTAGGCTCTCACGTGCCCTTTCCCCATTGTGTCTGGTCAAGTGATGTCGGTGCAAGCCATGTATTCAGAGGTTGCCGTGGTTCCTGGAAGACACTGCCAACGTCCGTGTCGTACAGGAGCGTGCGTTTTCATAATTGCGGGTTGTGAACCGCAAGCAACGTGCTGCCATGACGGATGCAAGCCTCTCGAAGTAGGCTTGCATCTACTATACTATAATAACCAAGTGTGAAAATAGATGCTCCCTAGAGAAGTGTATGAAATATCTGAATAAAATTGGAACTCTCTGTCTGTGATCCATCGCATTTTTTTCCACCGATAATGACCGATTTTAGCCTAGTCGTGAGACGTTCCACCGAAATACACCGGTGCTTTGAAAATAAATAAACACCGGAAAACATCCGCCGATTTTCCTCAGAAATAAACACCGGAAAGTACACACCCTAAGTATAGCTCGGGGCGTGTCACGTGACCTTTTGATTGGGCGGAATGTCGCGCGGACCGTGAATTCGTGCGACGCCTTCGGAGCGCTGGATTGGTTTACAAGACACGCGCTGAGTTCCAGACAGTGATAGGGTTCGGCTATTGTCGTCATCGCAGCGATTGAGCACGAGACACTACCCCAATGCTTATCAAGCGCGCGAGATGAAAGGAAGTGTTATGAAACTTCTTATACCCTATACATACACGGGCAACCTTAACCGCAGTTAAATGTGACTGCCATCAGATTAAAGGGGCGATGCAACGATATTCAATTGGAAGTTTTTCACTTTACACGAGCTTACTAACACTAGGGGGGCCCAACTATACTCGCACGCAACGTCATTGACCAAGAAACCTCTCTGTTGCGGTGTAATTTCAAGAATAAAAGTGAGCGTTTTCTTTCAATTTCTCCTTCGCAGAACTTGATGACGTAGCGAGCTCGCGCTGAAGCCCTTGGAGCTCCTATTCTCTACTTAAAAGTAAAGAGTTCTTTTTTCTTTTATAGCAGCGTTTTGGGTCGTGTTTACACACTGCCCGTAGTTGTGTTATATAGGGTGGCATCAACTCTGAGGATGGTTCTATTATCGGCCGGAGAAATGTATTCCTTTACGTGGCGATGTCAAAATTTTGTCAAAGATGTATTTTAGCTGCGGATTTTACCCCGAGAAAACGGAAAGCGAGGCCTCCTTCCTGTGCGAAATAAGACGTAACAAACTTGCCAGGCTCAACGGCATACGTCGACGCAAACGACCAAGTTAGCGGCAGTTGTGCTTATGGCGCCATCTCCCGATAGGCGCGGCGAGCAGACGTCTGGGTCGTCTGCTTTCGACCGAGTGCATCTTCCGCTCGCTGCTCCTATCGGGAGAATGGCGCCACGAGCACAGCCGTCTTTAACTCGGTCGATTTGAAGACTGCGACCCTCAAACGAGAACTGAAAAAAAAAACAGAAAAAAAACGAGAACAGATCATGGACTCGCTCTTTGACTACGTTAGGTCAGCGAACCTGACAACACAGATCTAATCTCACCCCTCAACAACACCAGCTTCCAACTCCCATCCTCGTCAGATAAGATAACTCTAGTCAAACCATCTTAGCTTGTCTTTCCTCTTAATAAACCTATTTTACTTAATAAACGTATTCTACATAAAATACGCATTCTAATTTTGTTTCGCACTGTTCTTCTGTTAACTCGGTCGTCTGTGTAGACATCCTTCGTTGACTTGATAAAGTTTTGTTGGTCTCATATTTTTTTTTTTACAGGAAAAGAGCTACAGCTTGAACCTTCTCAAGGCGAAATCCTCCACTAATATTCACAGATTATTAACATTTGAGATTACGATGTACGAGCGCCGACTTTTCTGGTCGGTTTTAGACACAATCTTGGTATTTCAGCCATCCTTATATATCTGACGAAACCAAAATCGTTCAGGTTAAGATATACTTGTTTGATCACCAATAATTACAGAAATCAGATCCCCGTTTGGCCAAATGTCCGTTGATACAAACGGGGATTCTACCCCATTTGTACTGAAGAAATAACTAAAAAACGAAGAAAAGAAATGAACCTGAAAAATATGGAGCTGTTAATTCAGTTTCGAGTGTACGTAGATTTTTTTTTTTTTATCGGTAAGTTTAAATAAGAATTACCGAATAATCTGCGCTTAGTGTATCCTCGATTATCTCCTCGGCGCCGCCATTTTGTTACCTAGTGCAGAGTGGCTCCAATCGTACAAAGTTACGAATTAAAAAAATGCGACTGCATACGTTTTATTATGGTGCCTAAAAGGCGTCATCTCCAAATAAGGTAATTACGGCGTCAAAAAAAAAAAAAAAAGTATCTCAATTTTTGCCTGATGACGTCACAGAAGTGTCACGCTGTCGCCGGCCGCGATCCTGGCGGTGTCACAGCGGCAGTGGTGGATGTGGCAGACACCTGTTCCGCTGCAGGATCGCTCTTCCAGCTTGACAGTCCACGGAAGCTTCGGCAGCCAGGAGTTGGGAGGCTTAGACGACGGCGGCGCTAGCATTCACTCGTGCGTTTCTTAGTTTATTTATTTCTGCTGGGATTTGTAGCACTAACCGCCAGGATCGCGACATCCGACAGCACGACACTCCGACTTTTGTGACGTCATATTATGCGGAGCGCAAGTTCGTCTGCTTCTTTTGCGGGGGGGTCGCGGTGACGTCAGGACGCCAAGCTATGATGGGCTCTGATTGAGGGACAGCCGATAGACCTCGAAGAAGCTTGCATTGAGGTCTACCCGCTAGCCTTCCATCGGAGCCAATCAGAGCTCGGCGTCCTTGTGACGTCACCACAACCCCTGCAAAAGAAGCAGACGAACTTGCGCTGCGCGTATGCAGTGTCGGGAAGATCAGGCGCCGATGTTTTGCTTTGCTGCGGAGTGTTTTAGGCATTTCCGGGAAACGGAAAACAGTTTTCCGCGATTTCACATAAGGTTTCGGATAACTGACAACGATGATTTGGGGCACCAACATGGCGGAAGAAGCATAGCTTACTTATAGGAAGCGTGTGACAAGACAGTGGCGCCGCGGTGCGGCACCCAGCAGAGTCGTTTGGTGGGAACATTAGTTGGATCGGCGCAGCCCCTGCAGGTGTCGCACGCTCCCTATTATCACTCCGCAGCCAATCGGATTGCGACGTTACTAATTATGAAGTCCAAAGAAGGAATCGGGCAGCGCATGAATGCATAATATGC